TCGGTTGCGTTGACTGATCCGTGCAACGCGACGCTGGATGAAAGCCGGAACCTCGCGAGAGGGAGGCCTGAAGGTGTGTCGCGTGGAGAGACAGCGACAGTCAGAGAAGCGACAGGGACAGCACAGCGTCGAACGGGTTATGCTGTATTTCGCGTTTTAGGTGGTTCTATGGTGTCTTCTCGGCGCGCGTTCAGCTGGCGACGGCCGTCGGATAGATCGGTGTTACGCTTCGTACCGGGTCTGCATCCAAGAGCCAACCTTTTAACAGTCGATCCGCTCCAATCGAGGTTGCTCCGTTGACGACGATAACGACGCGGTAAATCCTGCTTGTTTGTTCCTCCGCCTCGTCATAGGTTCAGTCGGCATCAGCACTGGGGATCGTAACTGTCAGAACTACTCTGACCACCCGTCAGAGCCCGACGATCCCTGGCTCACCGTCGCGGCGCGTCGATCCGCGTCCCGCGAACGACGACCTCCTCCCGCGGCACTCCGCAACGCTCGCGATCAGGATACGTCGTCGCTGGACTCCGAGGATTGTTTCCATGGATCGCGTCTGGCCGGTTTGTCGGAGACTTCCCGCGGCTTTTGTACCCTGAGCTCAGACGATCCGGCCTGTGACCCCGCTTACAGACACCGTGCACACGTGCCGCGGCACCTCGCCACTGGCAACTAATAAATCTGATAACCGCGGATCGGCGACGCGGTGTGACGCGTTACGTAAGCAGACGCGACGGAAACTAGTGGGGAATTAGAAACACCCACGGAAAGTAGGTTAAACTTGATCGACACTGACGTTTCGGCGCATGAAGATTTTGTTTGTTTCACTGTTGCACGACGGTTGCTCGACTGATGAAGCCGTCTCTGTCAACGATGCTGTCACTGGCTGTTCTCCCGTTGGATGTCCGACGTATCCTCTGAATCCCGACGAATCACTGAAACCCGTCCTTCGTCTAGCCAGTGTTCGTTCCAAGACTCGTTCACCGATCTTCTCGAACCTGGTCCTCAATTCTCACACGATTTTCGCACTTCGCCTCGGTCGTCCGTAACAGTATCACCAATATCGAATCTCGCGGATCACCACCGAACACTCGGCTAGCGGGCAGGCACCACCGACGGACCGTTGGCCACACTGGACACGTTCTTCGCGGACGATGCGCGGCAGCGTGAGTCGCACCTCACGGTCGGGCACGCGTGTATTATCCCAAGCGTCGAGAGGCGTCAGCACGAGGACATCCGTCGCGTCATCGCGGGATCACGGGCCCCCGATGAGACACACGGCGCGGTGGACGTCCTTGCTCCCGTCCCTCGGATCCTCTTACCTTAGCGGCGGCACGCGTTAAGGAACTACCGGGGCCGGCGACGGCGTTCGCCAGGAGGAAGAGAGACGGAGCCGGTGACTATAGAAAGGACCAAGGTGAATCGGTGATTGAGAGTGAACAACGGAGAAAGAGAGAGAGTGAGAGACAGTGAGAGTGAGCGAAGAGGACAGAGATAGAAGGGAAACGTAAGAAAACGTGCGGGAGAGCGGTGTGCCGCAGGTCGCGCGTAGAGTATAGTCGGTTTTCGTAGTAGATGGAACGTGTAGTGGCCGCGCGTCGGTAGTAGGTGGGTCCGCCAGGCTTAGCCGGTTGAGCCTTTCGGACTGCCTGCCGGCTTAAGTCTCTAAGTCGGTAAGCCGAGCGGATCTAGTGGTCTTGGCTCTGGGTGCACTGGCTGCCTGCTAGCCTGCCTGCCTGCCTGCCTGCCTTCCTTGCTTGCTGGGCGGCCTGCCTGACTGTCTGACTGCGCCTCTCCCTGGCTCGCTCGCTCTTACTCCCCTCCATTCGCTGCTCCTTCTCTCTTCCGCTCTCCCACCTTCCGATCTCGCGTTATCTCCCTCTGACGCCCCCTCTTTCCCCACTGCTCGTACCAGTGATCTGTCCCATCCGCGCGCTTCTTTCATCCCTCCAGTCGATGCGCTATCCGTCCTTCTTCCACGCTGTATCTATCCCCACTTTGCTACCCCAGTTTTCGCTTTGTCCCGTTTCCACTGCACGGCTTCTTGGACCCTCTTTCTTCCGTGTTTTGGGTCTCTCGTGCTCGCTCCCACTGTCACGCGATCTCTCACGCGTGTGCCTCTCCGTGCTCCATCCCCCAGTCCTAACGATCCCCTCTACTGCCGCTGGTTCGACCCCTATCGCACCCCTACCCAGTAGCCCGCAAGCTTTGCCGTCTCTGTCACAGCTGTACGTGTGATCTCTCACGCTTCTGCCTCTCTTTTCGTGGCGACGTGCTCGGAACAGTCGCCGGTTCGCCTGTGTTCGCCACCGACGCGCCTCTCTTCGCTCGCCCCCACCAGATCACTGTGTACCCCTCTACCGGTCGTCGAATCGCCCCTCCTACGTACACACCGGCGAGAGACGGAGTGTAGGTGTTTCCCTTTTGTTTCGTCTTTCTTTGTCCCGACGATGCACGCACACCACGCACCCTACAGATTCCCTTTTCCCTTTTTGTACTCTCCTACAGGGTCTCTCTCGTCTACCTTCTGATTATTGTTTGTTTCTTCTCTCGTCGACGTTTCGTCCTTCGTTCCTCGCGCGCCGGATTAATCTTCAACACCTTCGAGTGCCTCGAGGCAGCGTCCAGGTGCGATGTCGTTCCGGGACATGACTGTTTGCGATGGAAACGAGCGACGTTAAGTTGATTGGCGATTTCTTGGGAGCCTGGCTGTTTCTTTGCGATGTCTGCGAGACATTGGGGATGTTGTTTAGGAAGTATTTTATGTTGTGCACGGAGTAGTTGTTGATTGAGATGTAATGAAGGAATCTGGGAGGCAGTATTTGTTTCGTTTTATCGATAAGAATTATTGTGGTCAAGGTTGCGGGATTGGGTATTATAGTTTGTTGTGATAGGTTTTGGAACGACTAATCGAGCCAACGTTAAACTGACTGGTGAATGATGACAGAAGTCATACGAATTCCGGCCAAGTGTTAAGCGTGACGGGAAGATTAAAGAGGCAGACACGATGCAATGATTAATATTCAGATATTTCCAACAATGTCGGGTAAACGAAACGTAATGAAAAACGAGTAGCAATGATGTCTCATATAGTTTCTTTATTGCTTTAAATAAATTTAGTTGCTTGTAAATAAGTTTGTAAATCAATTCTGAAAATGTTGAATGAGGTTCATCTGACAGTCAGTGTTAGCGACGCAGATTTCTTCAATAATAGACAACCAGATGCTGCACGAAGCAACAGAAAGTTCGAACGAAAGGGATTCGTTTGTTCATCGACGGAGCCTCGATTTTTCGATCGCGACTGATTTTAAGCGAACCGTCCGACGAGCGCGGCGCGACGATCTACTCCGTCGCGGGATTTTATGAAACGGCTCCGCCATTATTCTCCCGAACGTTGTAGAATTTATATACAGGCTAGAAAATCTCTTAAGATACCGCGATTCGAGTCGAGTGCACGCAGTTATCGCTTGTCTTATCTATCGGGGCAAACATCTATCTTCATAGACCGCGACACTACTCCCGGCGCTGGGCGTTTCAAACTGACCAAGAGGTGTGTCGCGCTTGTAACGTGCTTGCTGTCAAAATGGGGTCTTTGCTGCGCAATAAAATCGAATTTCCTATTGTCCAATGTCATCGGTGGCGGCGCTGCCTCGGATGAGCTGAATCATTTCGTTCCGCGTGAGGCGAGCGCTCGGTATATCGTCTTCCTCCTCCTCCGTTTTATCTTTATCTTTTCTATCGATTTCCTCAAACCTATAATTGAATTCTTTTTCCCCGGTTGAAATAATCGTGATAGTTGACCATTATCGTCGTTCTTTTCAATTTCGCGCAGATTATTTCGACGAGCATTCCTGCCGAAGGTGATAAACCCCTACCCTGCAACACCCTCCGAGATTGTCGTCATGGTAATTACCGGTCAGCTCTAATCAGATCGAGAAATATTCCATGTGTCAAACAAAATTCGGCCATTTCTAACAAGAATTTTATCTGCTCGTCTTATCGCCTCTCAATGACAACGTTCCCTGTGTCATTGAAATATACGCTTCGTGTAGAACTGTGTTCCACATTGAATTCTCCGATACTTTCTCCGTGGTATCATTCAAATTCCATTGATCACTCGTAGACGCATAGGAAACGCTTAGAAACCTTCCGAAGAATATTCCCACTGATCCAGTTGCATCTACAATTAATCACATAACAATACAACCCATCGACCTTCCAGTAAACCTTTCATCCTCACGTTCTCCATAACACCCGAGCTCATCAAATAGAATCAGAGAAACATCCACAAACCTCTCAAACCAAAACTAAACCCGCACGAACAAAGAATTCCGATCCATCCTGAAGTGTTCGATGGCAACTCGGTTAACATAATACAACAAAACACCAACCATCCTTATCGCGCGACATTCCAAAACATTCCATGACCACAGATCTACCCATTTCAAAAGCGAGTACATCAGCGCCGGCGTAGCCAACGAAGTTCATCAGCGTAGCAGTAAAAAGCGGGAATCGCGAAGGGTTGCTCGAGGGTGGGCGGCAAGCAGAGCGCGAGGGAAAAGATAAACGCGGCGAATGACAAACCGGATCATTTCGTGCTCGAAAAAAAAGGAGAAGGGAAAAAGGAAGAAGAAAGCCCTCGCGGAGAGGGTGTCCAAAGGAAAGAAGGGCATATCCTCGTAGGAAGAGCGCGGGCCAGGTCCGCGACGGAGATAGGTCGCGTTCGTCGCGGGGAAGAACGTCGGTCGTCGTCGTGCCGGAGTAAGAAGAGAGGAGCGAGCGAGGGAGGCTGCTGTAGCGGCAGTACATACGTCAAGCCGGGAACAGACCGCCATCCCCGGGATCCCCCTAACGCCTCGGGGAAAGTAGAGGAAACAAATGACAAGGTGGCCACGCCTACCGCGTCGCGGCGTGGGCGTCGTGTGCCGGTGTGTGCGTGTGACTTCGGGATACGGCGCGCGGTAGTGGGAGCGAACAGCGCCCGCCGGCGC